ATCTCAAAAGGACCAATGAATCGAGGAGTTAATTTCTTAGCTCTAATTGAACTCCTGATTCTCGTCACTGGTGCAACCCTAAAAAATACATAGCCTCCCACTAAAAACTTTAACAGCCTTTTATACCTATCCGCATAACTCTTTTGCCTACTCTGAGCCGTTAATAACTTTTACCTTATCAGCTCAATCTTTTAAGTCATCTAACCCACAATATTTGATCCTAACATACTCCTTTCACTTAACTCTGTCCAACATAGATGTAATCTACACTTTCTTCCATACAAAATGCCTCATAGGGTGCCATTTGAATACTAGAGTAGTAACTGTTGTTGTAAGCAAATTTAGCCAAAGGAAGATGGTTGTCCCAACTATCCTTTAACTCTAATACATAGGCTCTCAATATGTGTTTTAGAGTCTATATAGTCCACTCTATCTATCCAGCCATCTCTAGATGATAAGCTGTACTAAATCTCAATTTAGTACCTATAGCTTGTTGTAATGCTCCCCAGAACTTGGATGTAAACCTCAAATCTTTGTTAAACACTACAGTACTTCATGCAGTGTCACAACTTCTCGGATATAAATCTCTGCTAGCTTTTCCAGAGAATTATTAATCCAAATAGCCAGAAAATGAGTCGATTGTGTGAGCCTATTAATAATTACCTAAATGACATTGTGCTCTGATTTAGTTCTCAACAACCCAGATATAAAATTCTTGGATATATTATCCCACTTCTACTTAGGGATATCCAATAATTGCAATATCCCTGTTGGCCTCTAACGCTTTATTTTAGCCTTTTGACAGTTCAAACATCAAGTCACAAAGTCCATTACTTCTCTCTTTATACTTGGCCACCACCAATACCGCCTCATATCCTGGTATAGTGTTTAACATCCATCTCATATTCACCTCTTTCTGATCTATCAAGTATTTCAGACTCTTATGGTTGTTAAGCAGCTTAAACACTACACCATATTGATAATGGCACCAACTCTTCAGAGCAAATACCATGGCTACAAGCTCTAAATCATGAGCAGGATAATTCTCTTCATATGGTCTCAACTGCCTCGATGCATAAGCTACCACTTGCTCATCCTGCATCAGCATACAACCCAAGCCTCTTAGTAATGCATTCATATAAAACTCATAAGGCAATCTCAGATTAGGGATAATCAATACTGGTATTGTGGTCAGCTTCACTTTCATCCTTTGAAATGCCATTTCGCATTAGTTATCTCAAATGTAAGGCTAATCTTTTCGTGTCAACTTAGTCAAAGGAGAAGCTATATGGGAAAATCCCTAAATAAATCATCGATAATACCTAGCTAATCTCAAAAAATTATGTATCTCTATTACTGAACTAGAAGGTTCCCACTTTAACACTACATCAACCTTATGCAAATCCATAGAAATCCCATCCTTTGACACTATATGTCCTAAAAATTTAACTTTTCTCAGCCATAATTCACATTTACTGAGCTTAGCATACAACTTTTTATCCTTTAGAATTTGAAGCACCGTCCTCAATGCTTTGCATGTTGCTCCTCATCCTTAGAATAGATCAGAATGTCATCAATAAAGTCCATTACAAATTGATCCAAGTATGGCTTAAAGATACAGTTCATATGATCCATGAACACTACAGACACATTGGTTAAACCAAATGGCATAACCAATAATTTATAGTGACTATATCGAGTTTTGAAAGCTATCTTGGGCACATTTGTTGCACTTACTCTCAATGATGATACCTTGATCTCAAGTCTATTTTGAAAAAGACTGAGGCACCAATCAACTGATCTAAAAGATCACCTATCCTTGGCAAGGGGTACTTGTTCTTCGCAGTCATCTTGTTCAATTGTCGATAATCAATACGAAGACGTAGATTGCTGTCCTCAAAAATTTACTTTAATTTTCAATTTGAGTTTTATTATTCAAAGAATAGGCAATACTATTAAAATTTATTGTTATAGATAATAAAATTTTGATGGTAACTTAGTAAAAAGGAAGATAATTATTTAGATACAAAAGCATAGACATAAAAATTTTAAAAAAATAAAAGGAACAAAATATATTGATAAAAAGTAAATTGATTTGAAAACTAATTTATACATATTAAATTAATTTGTGATTTATTTGTGCATTTAAAAATTAAGAGACTAATGTAATAATTTAAAAAATATAAGTAAAAAAAGAATAAAAGGGTTAATGAGCAAATAAAACCCTGAACTATTACTCGAAAACTGCTGTGGACCCTGAACTCTTAAAATATGTAAAATAAATCCTAAACTTTTAAATTCATAACTAAATAAACCCTGACCCTTAACTTTTTAACACCGTTATTGCCTACATAGGTACTGTTTAGGATTTATTTTCCTACAAATTTAATCCTGACTGTTATTATACCAGTGTGGATAGTAACGGTATTAAAAAAGTTAATAATCAAGGTTTATTTTACTATGAATTTAAAAGTTTAGGGTCTATTTGCATATTTTAAGAGTTCAGAGTTCAGAATAATTTTCGAGCAAGAGTTTAGGGTCCTATTTGCTCATTAACTCAAAATAAAAATTAAATTTGAACAACTGAATTGAAGCAAGGTTGAGGAATTGAGTTATATCCCTTACCATGCAATGACATAACCTCCAAAATATGCCTCAATCTCTCTTTGTTTTCTCAGATTAAAAACAAAAAATCTCTCTCTTTGTTTTTTACCTTAGCAAGAAATACAAAAATCCTCTATAGCCAAAAATTAAAACAAAAGCAAAAAAAAAAAAATTACGGAATGTCATACTTACCTTCCTAGCATTCATCTTCTCTACTGTTATCTATTTGATGAATTCGTATAAGTTCTGTGTAAAGAATGCCAAGATACATAGAAGATGATGATAATGCAATAACAGGTAGAAAAGTTTGAGTTCCTTCAGGAGGATTGAACCAGAATCATGCTTATGTATATATGTATAGCTCACATAAAGGATTTTCTGACTCATGATTTGCTGTTTTTGCGATGAGCTAGTTAATAAATTCAATCTCTTTTACTTGATATGTTTCTTTTTAGATGACATTTGATAGACTACAGATATATATATATATACATATATATAATTTTTTTAAAGAAATTGTCCTAATCTTTCAAATATTTAAATTTCATTAAAATTTCTTGAAGAAATAAAAACAAAGTTGCAATGAGTCCAATAAAATTAATTGTATAATATTTTTTTTGATACAATTACCCATTATCTTGAGCGAAGTCGGATAGAACTACATTAATGACAAAGCTTTCATAACTAGTATTTATCACAACTATTTCAAACTTGAGACTACTGGTATAATATAAAGTTGTTAACAAATCATATTGTTAATAAACAATGAATCACAAGTAACTTATTTTAAATTTGGTCATGGAAAAAGTTGTAAGCATGAAAAATTACATAAGTTTTTAGAATACATACATTTTTTTAGGATTTATGAATGTCGCATATAAAATTTAGGAAAAATATAACTTTGAGTTTCTATAAGAAAAAATTTTGGGAACCTATAGTAAAACTTGAATAAAATACAGGAATTTAAAGTTATATTTTCTCTAAATTTAATTAGTATTTTATATTATCAACTCTAATTTCATTCCAAGAAAATTGAAAATTTGACTAATGAGGGGGGAATATAAATATATATATATAGTGGATACAAGAACAAATTTCTCTTAAACTATAAATATAAAAGTATAAGGACTAGAATACCCAACTCATCTTTTATACAATTTTCCTTTTAAAAAAGTGCAATATGGTCTTTATTCTTAACAAAAGTTAATTTTAACAATTAATTGATCAAAAAATGATACAAAAGGATCTCAAAAATTTCATAAAAGTGATCAATCAATTTTTCTTGGCTCTTTTTTGTAAGTTTTTGGGTCAATATATGCAATTTTTATGTCCTTTACTTTGGCATTTTTGTCTTTTTCTATAATTTTTAAATTTTTTTTATTTTACTTTTTGTTAATTAACTGTCAAAATTAACTTTTATTAATAATAGGGATCAAATTGTAATATTTTTTAAAATTAAAAAAAAAAACACTTTACACAAAAGATGAGTTGAGAGTGCTAGACATTTGTAAATCTATAATTTAGGAGTCAAATTATGCTTTTACCCATACACACACATATATATAAAACAAGAGACAGTCTGGTTAATTATTTTTTAATAAATTAAATATTCTCATTTGATAAATTATTAAGAATTTTTATAATGTCATATTAGTTTTAGAAGCGGTAATAAAGTAGATGTTTTTAATCATAAAAAATAATTTTTATTTTTTATTTTCCTGGTTAGTTTAATAAAGTAAAGTTTAGGATTTAAAAACTTTTAATTTCTCAAGTTTGAAATTGAATTAACTATCAATTTTGTCTCTTAATTTTAATTTTTTATCAATTTAATTCCTTAAATATACTTTAGTTTTCAATTTGATTTTTATTATTTAAAGAAGAGATGATACTTTTAAAATTTATTTGCATAAATAACAAAATATTGATGACAGCTTAGTAAAAAAATGTAATTATTTAAATAAAAAAAATATAACCTCAAAAATTTTTGAAAGTAAAAAGAACAGACTATATTGATACAAAGTAAATGGATTTGAAGGCTAATTTATACATATTCAATTAATTTATGAGTTTACTTGTGCTTTAAAATTTAAGATACTAATGTAATAATTTGACAACATAAATACATAAAAATAAAAATTAAATTTGAATGGAATACAAAAATCTCTTTGGCTAAAAAAAAAAACAGAAAAAAAATTCTCATGCTCGCAATGATTCCTGTTCAGTTCAGTTTATACATGGCTGGTCAAAGTTGCGCGTTGGCGGCTTCACCTAGCCGGCTAGCCGGCTAGCCGTACTGTCTCTTGCTCGTTTCGTTTCTAACTTTCTATAGATTTTCGACAAAACGCCGCGTACGCGCAGCATGCCTTTCTACATCTCAAACCCTTTCTTGCTCCCCAAACCAACCTTTAAAAAAAAAACAAAAAAAAAAAAAAACAAAATTGTTCTTCATATCATCTTTGTTTTTACTCCAAGAAATTGGGATTTCTGCTCTTTTTCGGCGCACCTTCTTTGGTCATTCCATTTGCATCTAATAAGTCTTCTTCGGACTTCCTTATAGTTTGCTTCTCCAGAATTTATAAACGAAGAGGAATGATATCGTCTTCCTTCTGCTCACTTTTATATCTTGGATTGGAAGGGTAAAATGGTTGCATCCGATTCGAGACCCAATTCTTTTGGCCAGACCGAGATTAACTGGGATAAGTATGATTTCTTTCTTGTTTTGCAATTTCTTTTATTCTAATTCATTTTCTTGATTTTGGTTTGTTACTTAGGTTTCTTATATTACTTTTTAATCGATGAATGTGGGTTATATTGGGTAGTTTAGTCCATTTGCGGCGCATTTTTTAGCTTTAAATTCTTGGAAATGATTGATATGTGTCTGCCTCTATTCAAAAGGACGTTTTTCTTACATTGGTAATAGAACTGCTGAAGTTCTGACAATGATGCTTAGAAGCTGGAATCTCTAGATATTAAGTCATTAGACTGTATTCTTCAATCTTGCTCCACAAGAAGGGTTTTATTTGGTCCTGTTTTGGTTGACTCGATTGAAAATTTTATTTGAATATTATCTTGTTAAAGATTTAATGCATCGTGCTGTCTGAATTATTGCTTTCAGTATGTTGAGAACTCTAAATACAATGAATTTTAATTCCATTATTTTGTGAATTTTATTTATAGAATCTTCAATCTGTGGATGTCAATTCTTAATGAAACTCAACAAGTCTCTGCATATTCTTAAATTATTAATATATCTTATCGGTTTGATGACTGCTTTTAGCTCATATTGCCATAAGAATTTTTGCTGCTTTAAGTTTTGTGTCCTAATTTAGTTGACTCAATATTGCAGGCTTGACAAAACTAAGTTTTATGTTGTTGGAGCTGGAATCTTTACAGGCATTACAGTGGTCCTCTACCCAGTTTCTGTTGTGAAAACAAGACTGCAGGTTGCTTCAAAGGATTCTATAGAGAGAAATGCATTTTCTGTTTTAAAAGGATTGCTTAAATCAGATGGCTTTCCTGGTCTTTATAGAGGCTTTGGCACAGTCATAACTGGTTCAATTCCTGGAAGAATCATATTTTTGACTCTGCTAGAGACCACAAAGGTGGCTGCCTTAAGAGTTCTTGAACCGTTTAGACTGACTGAAACCACACAAGCAGCCTTAGCAAATGGAGTTGCAGGCATGACATCATCACTTATGTCTCAAGCAGTGTTTGTTCCTATTGATGTGGTATGATGATCTAATTTATGAGAAATGTGCATGAACGAATGGGCTTTGCATCTTAAAATCACACTTTGTGACACAAACACACGATGTTTATAGTGTTTCTTTCAAGTACATATGCTGTCAAACATGGCATATCTATACAGCTCAACAATCATGATATGTCTAATTTTTACTATGATAAAATGCTTGGTACATATCCAGTGGCTTGCTATTTGTTACCTGAGAATTGCAATCGTCTATTGTACCTCTTTTTTCTTTTTTTCTTTTTTGGCTTATAATATGAAAAGTTATATTAGTTGATTTTATTGAATATTCTTCTGAACCCTTAATTATTAATCTAACTCTAACATGGTTTTTCAGTGCTTCTATGTTTTTTAAGCTTAAATCACATAATTGAGATCAATGGTTGGTTTTATAAGCTGCAAATGTCATAAAATGTTATTTGGGAGAAGGACTGAAAGCAAGGTTTTTCTGTGATGCCTAACATGTTTTATTTTTAATCATGCAAGTTCTTGCACAAACAAAATAATGTATTTTCAGTTTATTAGGATATTAATATATGTATCTTTTCATTATTGTGCTCTGCTGATGCATCCATAAGAAGGGTGGAGTGTCAATGATAGATACAGATAAACGAGAATGTTTATTTTGTATGAATATTTTACTAACTTCTATGACTTTTGCTTGTCGATGTGTAGAGTGTATCGAAGTCTGAAGTACTTATTAACTACACATTCGTGATGCTTAAAGTATTATTAGTGTATACGTAGTTCATTATCTCAACTGAGTACTGAACTATATGGTGTTAGGAATCATCCTGCTCATTAAACTCTTCTTTTTCTCTTATAAAATATTCTTTTATCACATGGAAAATTCTAGCATGTGAAGTACCTTAATGTTATTCAGGTTAGTCAAAAGATGATGGTACAAGGATACTCAGGCCATGCTCAGTACAGTGGAGGTTTGGATGTTGCGCGCAAGGTTTTAAGATCTGAAGGAATTAGGGGATTGTATAGAGGGTTTGGTCTTTCTGTTTTGACTTATTCACCATCGAGCGCTGTATGGTGGGCAAGTTATGGTTCAAGCCAACGGTTCATTTGGAGGTAATACATGGAAATATATGTTACTAACATTGAATTATTGTTGTTAGGACCATATTCTGGTTCCATGGTAATTGCAGTTGTTCTTAGGAATAACATTAAACACATTATCTTTCTCACTTTAAAGACACTTTACATGTTTCCACTCTTAAAATCAAAGAAAGGGATCAAGTTCTAGGAGCATTAGACTCTGCATATCTGTATCTAAGGGCTTCCTACACTCCATAGGAAGGATATAAAAAATAGCTAAATGGGACTCCATACACATCTGTATCTAAGGGCTTCTTGTACTCCATAGGGGGGACATATAAAATAACTAGGTCCTCTTGCATTTGATGGGCGCGTTTGGCAAGCCAGTTAACACAAGAATTTGCCTCTGAACATATGATCATGACTCACCAATTGCGCTAGATAATTCCTCATATATCATTGAGGGTATTGATCAAAGGGTGATGCCTTGGATGTCTACTAGTCATGAGAGCCAAAGCTTCAATTGAATCACAACAGAACATAACTATCCTGGATCCTAAGTAACAACATAGACTTAAGCAATTCAACATCCCCTTCAATTCTGCTGGGCTACAAGGTGCAAAGCCAAGTCTTCTTATAAAACCCCTAATCAGCTAATCCAGCACCCATTCTCATACTGCATGTAAAAGTTTCAAACATAGGTCATTTGTCTTTAATTTAAGTCACAATTGTGGGTAGTTATTTGCTTTCCAACTTTGAGGTGATAAAAACTAAGGGGGGGAAAAAAAAAACTGGCAGAGAGCATTTTGGCCAGCAGATCAATATCCTTAAATGTTAATGTTCATCTTGGCCGTTTAAATATTAATGGGGCTTCTCAAAATATGTGATGATGCAATCATGTGCATTGCTGCAGGATGTAAATTATTTAGTCTATGTCATTATATTTTATTTTTGTGTTTTGCCAAAAGAGTATGCAATACAACACACAAGCAATTTCATTGGCCCAAAAAAAAAAAAAAAGCCATTTCAAAACAGGATTGCTTCAGGGATTCTTAAAATAGATTATAATGATGTATTTTATGCAATGAACTTAAAGGACATTACGTGCATGTTAGTATTTTTATAACCACATTTTTGTGCATTTCCTGGGTGCATGATAAAGCAAAGGTATTAACTCATGATCATATCTCATGGTTTTGTTTCCAGATTGATTGGACATGGAACTGAATACGAGGAAGGCACTCCTAGACTTCAGAAATTGATGTTAGTTCAGGGTGCTGGTGGGATTATTGCTGCTGCAACTGCATCCTGCATTACAACCCCATTGGATACTATTAAGACACGATTACAGGTATTTACAACCATGCTGATCATGTCTCTTCTATTATCCAAGTTCACTGCTACTTGTGGAGATAAATGCAGATGCATATTCTTGTATTTTGTTTCATACCCTTGTGATATATTTATGAAATTGGTGCTTTAGTTTTGTGTTTTCAGAGTAGTAGTTTTAGATGTTTGGTAAAATCATTGGCTGCTTGCTTCTAAAATTGTTCTTTCCTTTTAGGAGATGCTTTTCTAAGCTTGTTAATGGTTGCTTTGGAATGCTACTTACGTATTCCATTTCTACTTTTCTCACAACGTTCTCCACTATTTAATAATGTTGGAATATCTACCAAAAGGTTTCTTTTCTATGGTGCTTTAGTGATGTAACACACACTCACAAACATTGGCACGGATCTGAATAGAGGGAGAAAGCAGAGAGAAACCAGAAACAAGGAGAAAGAAATGAAGAAGATGAAGACAGAATAGTGGGGGAGCATGAGGGAGAGGCAGAACGCTGGGAGAGAGAAAGCAATCAGATTTTACACATAATACTCGTTCATTCATCAAAAGTCCATTACAAAAGCAAAGCCTAATCTATTTAAACTAAACTTTCCTACCTATTAAGGAAATCTTAATCATCGTCCACATAAAGCTAATGTTCAGATTTCCCTTCTAACAAAATATTAAAATAACACCAAAGAAGCTACAAACTAGGTAAGTTTCTTACAAGCTAAAGAAAATACAATAATAATAATAATCTACTAGTTTAGGTTTCTTCAAATTTGTTATTCTCATATTTCATCATTCTCCCCTGTTTGATGGAACTCTCCTCCGAAGAGTAAAACAAAGTTGATGTAACTCCACTGGAGTGCAATGCAAGGAATTCCTCCCAGTAGCAACTAATCTAGAGATCCCTTCCAACATTCAAGGTAGTGGAAAATGAAACCATGTGGAGAGTAAGCAATGTGATCATAGTGATTTGGAAAACCTTCCTAATGAACAAGGTAGTTGTAGAGGTTATCATCAAATGGGAAAACAATATGATCTTTGATAACCACAGCTTCTTTTCCAGCAAATGGTGTAGCACGTGGATGATTGAAAGTAGGAATTTGATAAAGTTGAACACTCCTCTTGTCAAGATCCCTAAATTGATAAATCTCTAAGGCTTGTGATTCAAGATCTTTGGCCACCAATTTCAAACCTTAATTCAATTCAAGACTCATGCTTTCATATTTCATGGAGCTTTCTTCTAAACCAGCATCATTCTCTTGTTTCTTAATAACATTTGTGCTAGCCTCAGTTATTGACTTGACTTCTTCTATAACTAAGCTTCCAATTTGAGACCACTAAAGTTGTTAGCATCCTTTTCTTGTGTAACTGACATAGGTGAAGCTTTTTTGATGAGGATACTATTTTCTAATACCACAAAAGAATCATGATCCCAACTGATGTAACAAACACTCACACACACTTGCACAGTGCTTGGACAGAGGGAGAGAGTAGGGAGAAATAGAACAGAGAGAGGGAGAGAGTAGAGGTAGAAAAAGACGGGAGAGAGCAGACACAGAAAGAAGAAGAAAGGGAGAGACAGTGAGAAAGACGCAGAGAGAGGGGGAAGCTATCTGAATATTCAATCACAATTTTTCATTCATCAAGTGTGTTCTTACAAGAGTAAAGCCTAATTTATTTAAACTAAACTTTCCTACCTATTAAACCTTAATAACTTGGCTAGATAAAGCTAATGTTCAGATTTTCCTCTCTACAAAAGTATGAAAATAACACAAAAGTAACTTACTTCTTCCTAGATAGGTTTCTTACAAGCAGCATACAATGATAATAAGTTACTAGCCTAGGTTTCTTTAAATATGTTATTCTCATATTCATCATTTAGCTTTGTCAATTCTTTCATCTTGCCTACCTCCTTTTCGCTGCCAGACCTTGCCCTTCGTAAGAATGTAGACCTTAGCTGGCATTTGGTGTACACGTATCTTAATTTCCCCAGGACTGTTAAACCCATGTATAAAATGTAAGCATGAGACATATAGAAAATCAATAGTCCTATATTATTTAGGACATATCCATTACATAAATTTTATATTTTCATTTTGATATATACTTATAATCAAACATATTAAAAGTGGACAATTGCCTGGGAAACTAATCTTTACATGCCAAGCACCACTCAAGTGTTTTCATGCAGGATTGCAACTTGGTTGTTGCTCTAATTGAGTAGTTATGGTTATGAAAGTTTGAAATACAAAGAAAAAGGGGAATTTATAAATACGATGTAATTGTAATTTGGTTTCTTAAAACATTTGTCATTTGTTTTGTTGCTGCCTTCTTAATTGTTATGACTCAGTCAGTTCTGAACTTCAGGTGATGGGACATGAAAAGAGAAGCGGTATGAAAAAAGTTGTTAAAGATTTAATCATTGAGGATGGCTGGAAAGGTTTATATAGAGGATTAGGTCCAAGATTTTTCAGCACGTCAGCATGGGGTACTTCAATGATCTTGGCTTATGAATATCTGAGTAAGAAACTATATCTTCTGACTATGCACTAGATAAATTTTGTGGCAGTGCTGGATCCAGGCATGCTTAAAATTTTGCTTGATCATTCTGGTTTGGTGTATTCAAATGCTGCTGGGAGATGGCTATTTAACTTAAATATAGTTTTGAACATTGAGTTATTTCTCATCATCTCATGTCGTTACTGAAGTTCTCATGTATGGCTTTATTGAGTTGTATACAGTTTCTTTTTTCTGAGTTATGCTTATACTTGTCATTTAATTATAGAGTTGTCCGGCAGTGCCCATAGACTCAAGTAGGTGGATGTTTGGAGCAGTTGACAGAATTAAAAATGAAGCCATTGTTCATTTTTCTTCCTCTTGACGAATATTACTTCAGCAAGCCCTTGGTTGTTAAATAGGGACATCATTCTAACAGAAAAATCATGTGATGTAGAAATATACAGTTGTGGGCATCAAAATACTTTAATTTGACTAGATACGCCAATTATCATTCAATTAGACATTAATAATCTCGCTTGTGGTTAAGTAGTTTATAGTAAGCTATATTATTCATTTGTTTATTCAGTTTTAGTTGCTGTTTTTATTTGGCTGAGGTTTTTTTCCTTTTAAAATTTCCTTTTCCATGATGAACTTTGCTGTTGGATTTTGAGTTAACCTAACAAACTTCTGAATTAGTGTACAGTAGAGCCTTTTCTGATTATATATCTATCTCAACCTAAAACTATTTCAATATGTCTTTACACAGAGCGCTTGTGTGCAAAAGATGAATAGATCTGAGTAGCCGGCGACCTTTTGTCACTTGATTAATCAAGATTTTGTTGCTCTGAAGACGATGTTACAGTCTTTTGAGATTTGCCTTTGGGGTTAATTAAAACCCTTGACAGTAAAGCTATACTACTCACAGATTGTCCGAGGAAAAATATCCGAAAGAATGACTGGGAAAATTTTCCTAAAAGATATTCTTTGGTTACATTCTTTCCTGTGATAAAACTGGATTAGCAGGTATTCTTTGTAGCATTACAATGCATAATGATGTAGCATGAGAAGAAAGTGATTACAGTCAGATGTTATTTTAGAATGGTAAAGCTAATATTCTTGCAAAATATTGTGCATGAATCCTCTACATCTATCAAAGAAATTGATATCTCTGTTTTGATAGAATGAAAGTCAATTAGTTAGTTTTGTCACATTATTAGAAACAAATGTGAGTGTATGTAAGGTGAGTCAAATGTTACTTGTAATAAAAATGGTGGATCTAGTATAAAGGACTCAATTCTTCTTTTTGTGAAATCGAATTTTTAATTTTTATGAATGGAAAAAGTTATATTAAAAGGGTTATCTTCACTTAGATTCAACAATGTTCAAATTTCATATATTTGTATTTTTTAAAAAAGATAAATAGATTTATTGCCCAGGATATTTTAATATTTAAAAGGTAAAAATGTAATAGAATTATAAAGTTTTTTAAAAAAACTATTTTAGTCTACTTTGAATTTTTTATTTATTTAGATTAAATATAAATAATAACTAATTTTGTTATGCATATGCATATTAAAAAGGGAGAATGACGATTGAGGACCCCCTAAGGACATTAATTCCAGTTAGAGATCCTGAAAAATAGAAATCCCAATTAAAGACCATGGTCTTTAAGTAGGATAAAAAACAAACTTGAGTTTACAAAACTGCCCCCTCACTAAACATTGAAAGGTAATAGGAAAGAAGCTCATCTCGTGTGCTCTGTTTTCTTGTTTTTCGGCGGGAAAAATACTGATGGAGTGTGCTCTCGTGCGTTGAAAATGTTAGGGAAAAATTAGTACAGCATAATCGTCTTCTAATAGGTAATTGTATGCATTGCTTCTTTTACATTTCGTCCTCTGCCATGCATGAAAGTGAAGTCTGCATCTTCTTCTTCCATTTCTTTTCCATTGCTCTGTTTTCTTTTTTTACACATGTCCTCTGTCATGCACGCACAGGAAGAATGTTTTAATCTTTGTAAATGCTGTCTTGCACCATTTCTCTTTGTTTTATACCTAGAAAAAAAAGTAGTCTTCTTAATGATTACTAGACTTTATATATAGACATGCGGAAGAAATGATTTTCGAGAACGACACAGTTGAAAAAGTTGAGGAGTGAAAAACAAGGAAAATGTAACATGGATGCTGAATTTTTATGATCTGTGTTGAAAAGTACATGAATGTTGAAAAATGTAACATGGATGCTGAATTTATGTAGTCAAGGTTGGGATTATGGAATGGACAGTTGTGAAGTACTAAATTTGTATGTTGCTTGTAGTTGTTTCAGGTTTATTTCCCATATGGCAAGTACTTCAGCAAAAGAAGTATTTTGTTATCTTCATGTTGATAGACATTTTGTAAAAGATTTACAAGGGAAGATGACCTATGAAGGTGGAAGATTAATTTCTAAATTGATTAGAGAAGGCATAAATCATGAAGAGCTGTTGAGGATGATGTCATCAGTGACAGGAGTTGAAAGTGGTGCAGATGACTTAAAATTTACGGTGAAGTTTAGTGAAGACACATACATAGATTTGTTAGACGATGAGGGAGTACAACATTTGATAAAGTATAATGATGAGTCAGCACATGTGTATGTTGAGACAAATGATAATGAAATAAATGGAGCAATGGATAACTCGATGGAGTAAGTTGTTATTCGTAGTTATTTGTGTGTTTAATTAGTTTAATGACCATTTATATTGACCTGTAAGTAATTGTAAATGTAGGATGGAGAATTTGTTAACATGTCACTGCCAAGATCTCCCTGTAGGCAAGAGCTTGAAAGTATATCACCCTTTTTGCCATGTTCAACATAAAATGCTCTTGCACCACTGCCTGAGGTTAATTCGGTAAAATGAAAGGATTTATTTATGGGTGTTGGCCAGACATTTGATGATGCAATTGTATTCAGAAAAGCACTATATAAATACAGCCTTGCTCATAGGTTTGGTTACATATTTGTGAGAAATAACCCTAAGAAGATGATTGTCAAATGCAATATTGATGGTTGTAAATGGAAGATATCAGCTTATGCTCTTGGGAAGACAACCTCTATATTGTGTGTGAAAAAATTCCACAATGAACACATGCACTCTGCACAAGACAACCTCTTATTAAAGCAAAAGGCTAACTCAAGATTGACATCATCAATCATCATTGATGCTGTGAGGGGGAATGTGGAGAAAACTTCAAATGAGATTAGACAAGACCTCTACAAAGAGTATGGGTTAAATCTCACATATCGACAAGCTTTGAGGGGAAAAGATAGAGCATTGGAGGAAATACATGGGCTTCCACAACAGTCATACATGTTGATTCCATGGCTTTGTGAGAAATTAAAGGAGACGGACCTAGACACAGTTGTAAAGTGGGTGCCTCGACAAATTATAGATTTGATAGACTTTTTATTGCATATGGATGCTGCATCAAAGGGTTTCTCTAAGGTGCTCGTCCAATTTTGTTTATTGATGGAAGTCATTTAAGCGGTTCATATAAGGGAATTTTACTATTAGCTTCTGCAATTGATGCAAATAATGACTTATTTCCTTTGGCTTATGCAATAGTGGGTGGAGAAACATATGATAATTGGGCTTGGTTTCTTGAAAATGTGAAAGAGATCACACACCAAGTTCAATTGACCATTGTGTCAGATAGGCATAATGCTATTGTTGGTGCAATGCGTGCAATATTTGATGGCAATCGACATGCTTTTTGTTATCGTCATGTCAAAGAAAATTACAGCTCAGAATTTACAAAAATTAATAGAGGTATACGAAGGATTGATGGGATGACCAAGGAAGATGCACTTAAGTTGTTGGATAATATTGCATATGCAAGGTTGGAAAAAGAATTTCATGTTGTTATGGGTCATTTGATATTTTTCTCCCCACAGTTGGCAAGATGGTTAGAAATAAATGAGGACATAAATTGTTGGGCGTTAGCAAGATTTCCATACAAAAGATGGGATAATATAACATCAAACCATGCTGAATCTTTTAATGCTTGGTTAGTGAAAGAGAGAAAACATCATATATGTGCGTTGATAAATAAGCATCGAGCAAAATTAGCGAGGAAGCTATACAATAGCAAAATAGAAATGGCGAATTGGTCAAACGGAGTTGGATCATGTGTTGAGGCAAAATTGAGGGAGAATGCATTGAGAGCTGAAGTTATGGTGGCTGAACATTATAGTGTGAATATGATATTAGTGAAGGTAGGAAACAATGACTTGAGAGTGAATCTAACATTGCGAGAATGCTCTTGTCAAGAATGGCAAATGGTAGGAATTCTTTGTGCACATGCATGTGCAGCAATAAAATTAGTTCAGGGTAATGTGTATTCATATGTTGAAGAATGCTACACTATTCGTGCACAAGAAAAAATTTACAGCTCCACAATGATTCCGATGGAAACCATTGACATGCCTCAGTTGACCGAGTTACATTATGAAGATTATGAAAAGAATATCTTTTTGGAACCACCACTGACTACACGTCCCCCAGGGCAACCACCTACCAAGCGAAGAGAGTCACAGTTTCAGAATAAAAAAGTGTATTATTGCTCAAGATGTAATCAAGCTGGACATACCAAGAATAGATGTAGGAATCCCAATCCAATGTAGGGATTGAAAGGGGGTGAAAACCATATGCATATTAGTTAGTTTAAAATTGAAATGCATATGGTTTTTATTTATTTTGTGCATTTTGCTGTTGAATAACCTTTTGTATAGGCAGCCACCTCATATATTTTTGTACTTGTAGAGGTGATAGGTTATGTAAATGGGATTGCAGTCTATGTTTTTTTTTATAAGGACTGCATAGGTACCATTTAGGTAGTTGGGATATTTTTTGGGTAAAAAGAGATGCAAATATGGTGTACATGTATTGCAATTAGTGTAATATAAAGCTGATGAAAATTTCAGGTCTAAATTTGTCCGAGTAAAAATGCTGTCATGGCATAAGACTGTTGAATTCACTAACGTAGTATAGGGATATTGCTAATGTAACTACTGATAACATAGAACCTTACTTGGGATTAAAATTTTGTGCAGTATTTTAGACAATTAAGAGACGTGTCAAATAATAGGAATCAATAACATTGGTTGGCAATTTCATATCCAAAGTAAGAAAAATTCCTACCATAAGTTGTGAAATGAATAACTCCACTTAGGTGTCATTGTTTATTAGAAGATACCTGTCAGAAATCGAGATCCGGTAACCTTACTTGAGAATTCCCTAACTTGAGTTAGAAAAGTAGCTAACGTATATTGTGAAATGTCCTAACATGAGTTGGGAACTCTTTTTTTTGTAAGTCTTGCCACAGATTGGGTTTCAAAAACCGTCGTTGGAAATTCCCTAACCTACCTTGCAAATATAACTAACATATGTTGTGAACGTGCCTAAAGTGACTTGGGAATTCATTGTTAAAGGATAAGTATTACCACAAGTTGGGTTCCAACAAAGTCACTTGGGAATGGCCTAACCTAACTTGGAAAAAAGGTGAACGCATGTTTTGAAAGAGCCTAATGTGACTTGGGAATTAACTGCGTAAGGATAAGCCATTTGGCACAAGTTTTGTTCCAGCAACCTTACATGAGAATTTGGTAACTTAAGTTGGAAAAGTAACTAACATATGTTGTCAAAGTTCTTAATGTGACTTGGAAATTTATTATTTGATGAAAACCGACGTGGCACAAGTTGCGTTCCAACAAAGTCTCTTGCGAATGTCCTAACCTAACATGGAAAAAAGCTGCATGTATGTTTTGAAAGAGCCTAACGTGAATTGGGACTTCATTATGTAAGGATAAGTTGCTAGGCACAATTTGTGTTCCACCAACCTCACTTGAAAATTCCGTAACATATATTGTGAAAAACCGGACGTCAGTTTTGAAAGTAACATGAGTCAATGAAAATCAATAACAGTTTGTCAAATTTCTTGAACATGTAGTCAAAGTTTTTTTAAATTAATTGTTGTATCATATACAAGAAGCCATGGAAAAAAACTTAATTACATAAAGGTTTAATTTACATATCACAAATGTCTACACTATGATTTCAATCTTTTGGATCGTGCATGCCCAGCATTCGAAATGGACGTCATGACTTGAGAGCCCACTCTGTTGTGTGGATGAGTCACCAACCAATACAATACCTGACTCCTCATTTCACTTAATTGTTCCTACACATTCAGATAAAGTCAATTCACAAGATAGAAAACTGTCACACATAACAAATTATATCTTAACTTTAACATTTTTTCCTACCATTGTTAGAGGAGGCATAGTAAGGTTGCCCCATTCCTCTTGTGCAGTATTATTCCACTATCTAAGGCAAAAGATGACATACATTCCACAATCAGATCTATAAAAAATATGAAATCTGTTACATAATACTGCAACTTGATCTATTTTAACTAGCACACTTGCTCACCGAACTATTGATCCATTGTCTAGGACCTAGACACTTGCATTCATATCTTGTCACATAATACCGCTCAATCTCCACAATTTTCCTGTTACAAAAAACAAAATTATATCAACCAATCGATTATGAACGCATGAACTAGTAAGGTAGAATATCATACTCATGTCCCTCATTGGGTGGAATAGACTTTGTACAGTATTGGTAAACTTCTTTCTCTATACATTGTCCTCTTTCTTCATGTCCTCTTTTTGCCTTCCCTCTATCATCCAAAAAGGGTGAATGAATAGTGCTGACTATTTGTCGTTGTGACTGTCTTAGTGTCCTTTCACCCTTAGAGTCTTTTTTTCTAATTGGCTTTTCTACTTCTTCTTGTGCACCCAATTCTCCCTCCTTTTCATTTTTATCTCCTTCTACTTGTCCTTCCTCTTCTTATTTTTCATCTTCTCTAGATCCCCCTTCCTCTTCATTTTCATCTCCTTCTACTTGTCCTTCCTCTTCTTCCTTCTCATCTTCTCCGAATTCTCCCTCCTTTTCATTTTCATCTCCTGTCTCTTCTCCTTCCTCTTCTTTGTCATCATGGTCCAACTCTTCCTCCTCTTCCTCTTCACCATCATGCTGTTCAACAACTTCCTCTCCTTTTCTTTTATCTTGGAGTTTGAGGAGTCTTTATGCAATTCCACATGTAAAGGTCACAATATCTTTATATACCTCTTTTATGTCCTGTACCATATAAAATGTCACATGTTTAAAATTATATAAAAAATAACTTTGCTAATTAACAACCATCATTTTGCCCTTACCGGATCATAAAATGAAGTCATTTCTGGAAGCTCTACTGAGAAGCTGTCATGTCCTCGAGAAGGGTGATACAAAATGCCATGATCACTTGCCTTCTCAAGTTGAACTCGTGTTGTCACTCTCTCCTCTGTCCAATGTTCTAGAGCATCTTCTTGCGATAACACCACAATTGGCTCCAATGGAAACATTTGAAAGTAGAAAATCTGCATATTTACATCTATATCATATAACCCATAGAATTTTGCAAAATAATTAACTTATAACAAATTATATCTTAATTTACCTACATACCGCAAGAAGAAATAAGCATCCTCTAACAGTTTTTTTGTACCCATCCTTCTTCTCCCATGCTTTATATTCAGCTACCTCCTTTCCAAGCTCAGATAGTATAAAAGATGACCAATCATAATGTACAGTTCCCAAATTTAACATGGACATGACTTTCAATAGTTTATCACTTATTTTAGAACTCAAACTTGGACAAAGAAAATTCCCTGAGCAATAGAGAATGGAGAGAAACTCAAATTTATCATTTTCTTTCCCCGAGAGTATCCTGTCCTTAATTACATTATAGGATACTTTTTTAAACTCCCTGTTTAGCAACTTTAATTTATTCTTATCCCCATTCATATCAACTATCTCCCCATCATTAGGCAAGCCAAGTAAGGCATGAACTGCTTTGCCATTGATGACTTTCCTTTGACCTCTAATGAAAAGGGATGATGTAGGAGGATCAAATGCCTTCATCACTTCGTCGCATAAATCTCTAGGCAACTTGTGACATTTAATATTTAAAAGCTTACCAAATCCTATTCTATTAACCCTATCCCTCAAAGATTTTTGCTTTTTGATATAATCAAAAACTTCCTTCATCTTTGTCGGAGAACACCTTGTCTCAAATGGAATCTGTCCAAGTAAAACAAGTCAGCACCATTACTTGAATTCATCACATTTTTCATGCTTGAGGTCAAAAACAACATACCTCATAAGCTTTTATACCAGCGTTTTCGTCCTTAGCCAGACGCTTATAGTGATCTTGTTCTTCTGATGTCAACTTTTTCCATGCTGCAACTGCTTCTGCGTTGAGTTTTTTCAAATCATTTCCTTGGTGTATACTTGTTACGATATGCCTCTTTGAACTTGCTTAAACCAGAACAACTTTTTTGCCTTAAAGGATTTCCTTTTGTTTTAGCCATTATCCTGCACATTAATAATTAAGGTAAAAAACAAACTACTATTGAATGTATCTAACGTCACTAATGAATACACAAAATAATACTATTAGATTTACCAAACATGAAATCTGAATTTTCTCCATAGAACATGCAAGGGTCAGAGAAAGTCATAGTCACAGCCTCCCTAACTTCAAGATTGCATTCGTCTTTTACACAAGCAAATTTTCAAGTCGGAAGAACCTTGCCAAACTTTTATTTTATGAGGACATTATAAGAGCTTTAATGTCAAATTAAGACTTTTCAACATTGATGTTTCTAAATTTCAGTACTCCTTCAACCATGTTTCAATACTAAAATTCCTTATTTGGCATTAATGTTATTACAAGCTCTTTATTTGTCATTCTCCCTTATTTTTAACTATTTTATTAGTCTATAATATCTTATCGACCTTTCTGCTACAATCTATATTTATGTTTTTCTTCTATTATGAAAAGGAAAGCTTTTCCAAATCCAGAGACCAAACACCAAACATGCCAATGTAGAACCTAAGTTTCGGTGCAACACATGGAAGGAATCAAGGAAGAGTCCAAAGTCCTTGTTAAGCAGTGCCTTTCTCCCTTTTGTAACGACCCTATGTTTTAAAACAGCCAGCTGTGGGCCGATTTTCATTGCTTCTTGAAAGACACATAACCAACTGTTACAAAATTTCCAGTTCATTGCCAGTATATGTGCTCGGCTAGCAAAAGAACAGAACAAAATAAATTCATCTTACAACATAAAAATACCAGACGAACAAAAGGCTTCTCACTCTTTCTTCCCAAATTCATGGCAAAATCATAGAATAGAGCAAAAAATCAGGTTCGAATATCGCATAAATATAAAAAAATATGGAACTATTTTGGGATCACAAATCAATATTACTGCAGTTTCTTCTCTTTTGCAAATACCTTACTGGAATGACACTAGGAAAAAAATGCACAATCAACAACAAACACAAAATCATTCTCGCCCCCACCGAAGAATAGACCGAGGGATGGAAGGAGAGAGAGAAAGGCAGAGAGAGGCACCGAACCTGGAAGAAGAGAAGAGGGGGTACCGGACACAGAGCACGCACACTGGACTGAAAATGGGAGCAACAATAGAGGACCTCTCACCAGCGATTGTGCACCCCTGGACTTGATACAGAGAACCCGATCACCGACTAAGCAGCCGGCTGAGCTGAAATA